GCTCTGTTGTGAAAGATCCCTAGCAAGCAAGTTATTGAAAGGAATAGGCAACAGAGCCTGGTTCTTTTGAAACACTTTATAATGTAGGGTTTGTTAAAAATCAACTTGGGTTGATTTTTATTAACAGACCCTACATTATTGGTTGTTATAGAGTTTGTTAATAAAAATGATATCATCAGAACCTACATAAGATATCATTAGCTATCATTGGAACCTACATACGTTTATCAGGTTTGGATTGAATATTATTGGATGAAGTAATAACAACTACAAGTGTAGCAATCCTAGTGGCTAGAATAATCTGTTCAGGGTGCTGATTGGATACCTTTTCCTTAGCGTTCCCTCCCCATCTCACCTGCTTGTAATTGATGGAAGGTGGTGCCACAAGGAGTTATAAAGAGGAAGCTGATCCACGGGATCCTCCACCCTTTTCAGAGAAGAAGCAGAGTCTTCCTTTCCTGAGGTAAGAAACTTGTTCTTAAGCAAGGATGTACTTACAACTTGGTGAGAATTATGGGTGGTAGGAAGGGTAGAATTTCGTGTTGTTTTCCAACCTTGTCTTATTGCTTCCATAGCTTCCTTTTATACTATTGAATGCTGTTTGGGCTATTTCTTAGTCACTTCTTTCCTTTGGTAGTCCTTTCCCAAAATAATCTTGCAAGCAACTTAATTCAACAAGCAGGTTCTCTTGCAGTTTAATATTTGATGTGGTAGTGTTATCTTCTAAAGTCAAAGTTAGGGCAGTTCCCTTTGCCTTCTTCTTAGTAAAATAGTCTTTAATTGCTTCTTTGACATAAAACTGGCCTTGTCTTCATGCAAGCCATGCTCTCCTCACCATGAGTTCTAGTCCTGTCTTGGGAACAGAACTTTTTTTTAAGAGAAATTATTCAATAGGTATTTTAATTTCACTAGTCCTTCCAAAGCCTATAATATGAGGATTTCCTCCTGTCTTGAAAGTCACAATTAATAATAATATATAAAAAACAAGAGGCTAAAGCAAATGAAACTAAAACACAAATGAAGATTTCCCTACGCTTCCATCCCTGCTCGTTTTTGTACTATTTTGTCTAAAAGCACAAAAATGAGCTGTGTGGAGGTGTAGGGAAATCTCCCCCTGAATTTCAATTGGAATAAAGAGTATAGCAAAGCTAGAGAAGGCTATCTACACCTACTCTAATAACTCAATTTGCTGCACCCCTCAGTTTGTTTCCAGAGCAAACCTTAGTTATCAAATTAACCCATTTTCTTTAATAACATGATACACTGAACCATAGTCTAATAAAACAGGCTTAGTTTGCACAATACATTAAGGCACAAAAATCCAAGCCAACATTAAGCTAACCAAGTTCATCAAGATTGGTCTTTCATTACTCTTAACAAACCAAATTATGCAACAGTCCATTACTGCAAAGCTGCAGGGACCACTCTAGCAATGCAACTCTCTGAAACAAATGGGTCAGCAGTTCTGGAACTGTCCTCCTTTTTACTTTCTTCTTTCAAAAGAAAAAAAAGGTCACCCTGATTATTTTAGGGGTCATGTCATTTTCTCTCCAGGATGGAAGCCTTTAATTTAGCCCCCAAATTGAGGTGTCTTCTTTTGCTTTTGAAAGAATATAGGGCAGATGGGACTTCTCCAACTATCTTCAAATTGTTTTTGGCTCTTCACAGGGACACTAGTTGGCAAGAAGGGGTAGCAGGCAGTGTGAGGAAAGGTATCTGACCCATTTTCCAAAATCTACCCTGATCCTATTTCAAAATACACCTTTTTTCTGTTTTAATTATTGAACACTGTAGTAATATTGTCTGGGGATTGCTCTCACTTATTTACTTAATATTTTTTTTAAATCCCACAAGGAAAAATACTTAAAAATTAAGGAGGATTCAAGGATGTATCTGCACTCATGATATCATAGTGCAGAAACTCGACATCATAGAGAACCTACCTATGTTGTCTTGACAACCAGCTAGAGTTAAACATTCAAAAAGTGCTTGTGAGAAATGGATAGGCTTTGTCTTGCAATTGAGCACCATCAGTTTGAGATCCTCTAAGACAACCATTTTATATATATATATATATATACATACATACACACAGTAGATGTGCTTATAAAACTTAAAAGAAAAACACAAGAAAAAGCATTCTAGAATCTCAAGTATCAAGGCAAGAACTGGGTGAGTGAATGAAAAAGGGAAGTTGTGGAAGGGAAAACAGAATCCTCAGATCTAGGAAATTTGCAAATGCATACCCAGGAAGTGATAGGCATATGTGGACAATAGAGGCCAGTAGCAAGGAATTGAATTTTTTCTCTCTCTCTCAAATAGGGCACGAGAGCTGTAAACTGCTAAAAATATTCCCCTGATCTGACAGAAAGAGAGAAGTGGCAGAAAATCCCAAAAATATGATGGAGCCAAACGAATTTCCTGAGGCCCCTACTCTAGATATAACTGAAGATGCGGCTGAGTCACCAGATACTGATGATGCTGATGAAGGTCCAGATTCCCAGGATATTCCGGGTTGTTCTGAGGCTGCTGATGCACAAAATCCTTTGCTGAACAATGGTGAAAATAATGCCAACCTGCTTTCCTTAAGATCTGGAAGACAGTTAAATCCACCAAGAGCTGATGTACCCAAGCCACTAGATTCTAGTATTTCCGTATTGATCTATAATGCTATTGCCAGTTCCCAGAAGAAGTCTGGTATTTCCATGCAAGCTCTTAAGAAAATCGTGACAAACAAGGGCTATGACATGGTAAAAAAGAAGCACTATTTCTTGAGGGCTCTTAAGAATATGGTCGGAAAAGGGCAAATCTGGCAAGTAAGAGGCACTGGAGCAACCGGCTCATTCAAGATCAATCCTGACATTGGAAAGAAGAATCCACCAAAAAGCAAAGGAAAAGGTCCGAAGACCAAACATTCAACCAAGAATAAAAAAAGATCTGCCATGTCTAAGAATGGCCGAGAAGCTGGCAAGAAGCAAGCGAAGGCAGATGTCAAGAAAACCTGTAAAAGAGGCAAGGCATCTTCTGCTCAGGCTGCCCCAAGCCAGGTCCAGGTGTAAGCGAAGAAGCCCAAGCTATCTTTCACCATGACATCTGAAGCTTTTTGACTAATAAAGCAATCACTGTATTTGAAATTCAACAATGTCTATATCATTTCTTTGAAAAATAAAGCAGATCATAGTTATGGGAGGGAGGTTGTGGGATATATATATAGTTATGGAATGTACATAAAAATACAAGATAATTGCCAATACTCAAATACTTCTTTTGGAAGTATTTTGATATATCTTCCACAAAACATAACACTAACTTGAGTCAATGGGATCCATCTTGGGAAATACATTAGGAACAACCTTGCTGGTATGCCTTTAAGTAAATGACAATATTGTGAATGGTTATACCCATAATGCAACTATTTTCAAATAGCAATTTAATTCCCCCCTAGCAATCATTTCATATGAATCTCCCCACAACATGCCTTCAACTTTACAAATGTGCCAGCTAGTCCCACCATCACAAAGAAAACCCCTATCCTTGTCTTAAAATATTGCATTAAAATTATTTCTGTACTTTTCCAATTTCGACACAATGCTTCTTCCAAAGGAGAAATAATAACATTCACTCTTTGGGAAACAAAACTTGATCTATTTTGTAGATCATTTATGTCAGCTCTGCCACGTCAGACTTTCCAAAACAGATGGAAATTCCTATTCAGATTGGAATATTATAACCAATACATAGACAATTTATCTGCACAGTTGTTATATATTTCAAAACATATGTGGTCAAAGCACATATTTTTATATGCTTAAATGAAGGACTGTCTCACAGCACCAAAAGACAATCCTGTGAGCACTTACTTTCTGATCAGTCAACCTGCACCTAACAAAGTAGGCCAAGTCTTCCCTGACAAAAAGCATAAAGATTTCTCTCTGAAAAGGGTAGAATATCTTGTGGACCAGGTCTCTAGGCCTAATCATGTCAGATATCTCTAATATAGTGTTTATTATGGGTTTATTAAATTTGTTTGCTACCTATCTTGCCACAAGGTGGCATACATCATTAAAATGAAACCATAAATATATGAGTATATAAAATATTGCAATTTCAATAAAATACAGGTTATAACAAAGATGGGGAGAAAGGGAAGAGAATCTATAGGGGTTGGGTTGGGTGGGAACTGCTATTACTCAAACAAGTACTTCCAATGTGATATTCCTCCATTAGAGCCCCAAGCCAACTGGCAGGTCTTCAGGCTGTTTGAAAGGTTGGGAGCAAAACTCACCTCAGGGAGCAAAATGTTCCAAAGGGCCAGAGCAACAGCAGAGAAGGCATTTATCCTGGGCCCTGGTAGCCAGCATTCCTTGACTGAAAGGACCCACAGCATTCCTCTCTGCTGGCATGGGTGGTGCAGGCCTGTCCCATATGGTTGAGGTGGTTCTTCAAATAACCTGAACCCCTGCTATGCAGGGCTTTATTGGTAATAACTAAAACCTTGATGTGTATCCACAAGCAAACTAGCAGTCAGTGCAGCGCTCAAAGCAGTGCTGTAACATGGACCACTCTTGGAGCCCCAAAGACTGTACATGCCCACCACACTACACCAGTTGAAGCTTCTGAATGCTCTTTAAGAGTAGATCCTTGTACTTCCTTCCTTCCTTCCTTGCTTCCTTCTATAATTTACCATACAATATATAGAGAAAAGGAAATTTATTATAGCACACACACACACACACACACACAATCATTTTTAACATTTCTCCAAGGTTACAATCCAACAGGATAAACACAGCTTTCATTTCTACATTATAAACAGCACATGTTCATAATATAAAAGTAACATATACAGAAGATAGAATACATTCAGAGTTCCCATAGGTTTTTCCCATGTTACCTTATTTCTCATTACTCTTTCCTTTTCAAATAATAGGCACAATAGACATTTGAATTACGACGCTTTATTTTCTTTTTCCTTACACACAGCTTCAGCTATGGAAACCTCATGTCATCACTGACTTTTCACTACAACAATTGGATGGATCAGACTGTTCAGTCTTGGTCTTCTTTTTCCTTGACCTGCTTCTTTTCCTCTTCCTTTGCTTGCCAAGTTTCTTTTTCTTAAGGACAGCTATTGCCTTTCTCCTCTTCCTTCTCCTCCTGCTTTTCCTCTTTCTTCTTCTCAGTACTTTCAACATTATTTTACTAATCCCATAGGAGCCTGTCAGTCCACGCCCAGTCAACTTCCTCAACAATCCTTTGGCCACCAAGGCCCTCAAGACTCTCTTGAAATGGTTCTTCCGCTTCTCCAGGCTGTAGCCAGTGGCTGCAACACTCTTTTTGAGGGCTTGCAGGGAGACACCACTGCGTTTCTCAGTGGAAGCCACCACTTGGAAAATGAGTTTGGAGACACCACGCTTTGGCAGAATGAATTTCCAGGGAAAAGAAGGCTTACCTCTATCTTTTGACTTGTAACTAGATAGGGTTTTCATGTTCAGGCCTGAAGAAGAGGGTTGAGGTTCATCAAAATCATTATTTGAAAGTAGTTTTGGGGCAAAGATGTTGGCTGATATTGGTTCAGGAATGCTTTCTTCTGAAGACATGGCATTAGTCAAAGAAAAAGTCATCTGTTTTTCACTTATGGTACCCATTTTCTTCTCAAACTTAGCTTGGCCTGCTATTTCCTCAACATGACCCCAAGTTTCAGGGTGGCTTAGCTCACTTCCTGTCTTTCTATTAGTAGAGGTTCCCTCCTGAGTGCCACGTTAGTTTACTCTGATGGTTCTTCCAGGAATCCCCAAGACTGACTGACTGCCACAGAAAGTAAGATGTTGGATGGGATTCCTGTGCAAGGCCATCCCCCTTTGCCACAGTTATGAGAGCAGTGGAGCAAGTGCTTGAAACTATTGCAGAGTTGCCATGGGAACAGGTAGATAGATTGTGGTATCACAACTACTCTTGTGATGCCTTCCTCTCTGTGTATTATGTGTTTATATGTGTGCCTCTTGGTTAATGGTTTAGCCAGGGGTGTCAAACTTGCGGCCCACAAGCCAGATGCGTCACACACTGGCCACGCCCACCCCTGGTTTAGTGAAGGGGGGAAAGTTACAATATGTCACATGACAAAGTGATGTCACGAGTTTGACACCCATGATTTAGACTGACTCTAAGTACCTATCACAAATGGTTTAACGTTAGAAAAAATGAAGTTACCTCACTATTAAGCAAATATAATAGAAGGTACAAATTCATAAAGTTTAGCTAGAATGGAAGGAGATTTTGAAATGCAAACACACACTGGAGGTAACAGGGGAGATGGTGACATTAGCATAAAACAAAATATTTATTCATTTTTACATTCAAATATAAATAAAAGCAAAGACAAAAGATAGAAAGAAAGCAACTTACTCTGAGGTGCTCAAGTCCCTCTTGTGCCTACAATTTAAAGAAACAGAGAGGCATTATATCCAATTAGAAAAAAAGCAAATCATTTTATTTTTCAGTAATACATTTTTGAGAACTACAAGCCTCCCCTGATGAGAGACAGTGTGGCATAGTGGTTTAAAGCTCCATGGTAAGAACTAGGAGACTGTTCTATATTAGCACACTCCAAACCCTGAAATCCTATTGGTCCACACAGACCGCAACCTGATTGGACAACGGATCGGCCGTGATTGTGCACTAAGAATCACCCGCGATTGGCCGAGCCGATCGTGGGAGATTCAAAGCCCTGTCATTGGCCGGCGAGCCGCAGGCAAGTCCTGTATGAAGGGCTGCCGCGGAGCGCAGGTCTTGTACAGAACTGTATACCTAATAAAGAGCTGAATGTTCACTTTTGGTCTCGCGTCTATGTGGGACCCGATCTACCCGATCTAACACTGGCGACGAAGGTGGGATCGTGAGACAAGAGACCAACCAAGCACGTGGCACCGCGGCACAAAGCGACCGATAAAATGGCCAGCAGCACCGCACCACCCGCACCCTTCAACCAGGCTGCTGAGGATTGGGAATCCTACACTGACCGATTCCTAATGTTCCTGGAAAGCAGCAATCTAAAAGATGCCAACGAACAGAAAAAAAGGGCCGTATTCCTGACACACTGCGGGCCCGCAGTGTTCAAGATGGCAAAAGCCCTAGCCAAACCCAACGACATAAAAGAAATGGACTGGGACGACCTCGAACCGTTGCTGCGGAACCACTATGCCTCCGCCGTGCCTACACTCATCACAAGGCATGATTTTTACCGGCGTGACCAGAAGGAGGGTGAGAGCATCAGCAACTTTGTGGCTGAGCTGAGGGACCTCAGAGGCATGTGCGGGTTCACCGACATGGACGAGGCCCATGCGAGACTGCGTCGTCCTCGGGCTCAAGGATCCCATCCTACAGAGTTGGCTGATGGCAAGGGGCAACATCTCCCTCACCGACACCATCACCGAGGCAACTGCAGCCGAAGCAATGAGGAAATCAGCGGCGCGGATGCAGCAGGCAAGCGCAGCAGACCGACCGGCCGCCATCGAGACGCCCCCAGCACTGGAGAGACATACAGAGACCAGCCACCGGGTGAGCACCACCACCCACCACGGCAACATCGACTCTCAATCTGACACACAAGATGAGGAGGAGGAGATCCACCAACTCCAGGCGGAACGTGACCGGCGGGAGCGGAGAGGACGTAAGTCGGGGTTCCAATGTGCCAGCTGCAGAGGCCATCACCCCCGCTCAGAATGCCATTTCTTCGATGCTATCTGCCGGCATTGCGACAAGCGGGGGCACATCGCCAAGGTATGCCGGAACAAGCGGAACTACAGCCCCCAACGACGAGATGGCAGCCCCCGGCGACGAGACGGCACCCCCCAGGGCCAGAGACCACCACACCGAAAGCCGATGGAGCCGAGACGGCCAAAGCAAGCGGCTCAGGGAGGCACGACGGAGAGAGGAGACCCATCAGCCAGTCGTCATCGGCCATTCCTCGACCATCAACGCCCGGAAGGTACACATGGAGGTAGGCATCGAGGATCAACCATATGAGATGGAGGTGGATTCCGGATCCTACCTCTCCATGGTCTCCTGGTGCACAATCAAACACCTAGTGCCTACCATCCGCCGCCACGAGCTGGAAACCCAAAAGCTGACTCTTAAGGACTATCAGGGAAACCGTATCTCTGTAGTCGGGACTGGACATTTCAAGGTAACCTTTAAGGGACACACCAAGGTGCTGCCGCTCACCATCTTGGACAGAGACCACCCAAGCCTGCTGGGGCTACAGTGGTTCACACCGTTGGGCATCAAGGTGACGGGCATCCACCACACCGATGAGGCGGACTGGGAAGTGACGCTCGTGAGGGACTTCTAGGAGGTCTTCGATGACACCCTAGGCAAGTACCGGGGGACCCCAATCTCTTTCAATTTAGACCCAAACATCGCCCCAATCCCCCTTAAGCCGCAGTGAGTTCCATTCGCGCTCAAGCCCAAGATCGATGAGCAACTAGATAAGCTCATCGCACAGGGGTTTTTAGAGCCGATTGACCATGCCCGGTGAGAGACACCCATAATCACCCCCATCAAGCCAGATGGGTCCATAAGAATTTGCGGTGACTATAAGGCCACCCTCAACCACACGCTGCAGCCTAGTGCCTACCCCGTCCCAGTAGTACAGCACCCCCTGCACTCACTGGGGGGAGGCTGGGTCTTTGCAAAGCTCGATCTGGCACAAGCCTACCAGCAGCTGCCTGTCGATGCCACTATTGCAGAGGCACAAACCATCGTAACCCACTGAGGAGCATTCCGATGCAACTGACTTCCAGAGCCTCATGGAAAGACTACTCCAGGGGATCAAAGGGGTGGTGCCCTATTTTGATGACGTCTTGGTGGCAGCTACAAACAAGACACAATTGGAGACCCGCCTAAGGGAGGTACTACAAAAATTCAAAGATTCGGGACTTAAAGTTAAAAAAGAAAAATGTCAGCTGTACACCGAGAGGGTCGAATTCCTGGGGTATCTCCTAGACAAGCACGGAATCCACCCCACCGAGAAAAAGCTCAGAGCCATCAAAGAAGCCCCTAGACCAAGAAATAAGGTGGAACTGCAGGCTTTTCTCAGACTCATTAACTTTTATAATGTTTTCCTACCCCAAAAGGCAACCGCGGCGGAACCTTTGCATGGGCTGTTGGATAAAACAGCCACCTGGTCCTGGGGAAGCAGAAGGAGAACGCGTTCAAACAAACCAAGGACCTATTAACATCAGACACAGTCTTTATCCAATACAGCGAGACCCTGCTGTTGACGGTAACATGTGCTGGGTCACCCTTCGGTGTTGGGGCCATCCTCAGCCACACGCTGCCGGACGGAAAAGAAGCACCCATCGCCTTCAAGAACACTCTCCAGACCGGAAAGAAATTACAGTCAGCTGGACAAGGAGGCCCTAGCAGTCATCTCCGGCGTGAAAAGGTTCCACGAGTACCTCTACAGTAGGACCTTTTCAATCGTTACTGACCACAAACCGTTACTAGGGATCCTGGCAGGGAACAAGGCCACCCCGAACATCCTATCACCCAGGATGACTAGGTGGTCCGAGTTCCTTGCTGCCTACAGCTACCAGCTGACACACCGGCCCAGCAAGAACATCTCGCATGCAGACGCGTTGAGCCGCTCCCCCCTGCCAGACTTGGAGGATGACCCGGCACCCACAACAACAACCCTGCACATTGAGACATTACCCAACCCACCCCTGACCATGTCAGACATTGCCAGAGAGACTAATAAAGACAAGCGGCTGGTGCGAGTCTTGGACTGGGTAGAGAAAGGGTGGCCGGAAATCGACGGAAACAAACAATTTAAAACCTTCAGAAACCGGCAAACTGAACTCTTCACACAAAAAGGTTGCATACTTTGGGGGGACACGGTTGTGATTCCAGAGACTTTGCAAAGAAGGGTATTGTCTATGTTGCATGAAGGGCACCCGGGCATTGTCAAAATGAAAGCCCTGGCCAGGAGTTACGCCTGGTGGCCAGGGATGGACAAACAGATCGAGACCTGGGTAGCCGCATGCAAAAGCTGCCAGGAAACCAGACCGAACCCCCTCACCGCCCCGACTCTGGAATGGGAAACCCCCAGGGGCCCCTGGTCCAGAATTCATATAGATTTCGCTGGGCCTACCAAGGGACACACGTTCCTGATCACCGTCGATGCTTACTCCAACTGGCTGGAGGTAAGCACCATGAAAACCACAACCACGGAAGCCATCATAAAAAAACTAAAACTGTTTACCACGCATGGGCTGCCAGATGTGCTAGTATCTGACAACGGCCCACAATTTACTGCAATAACATTCGAGAAATGCGTTAACAGCGCCGGCTCATCCGGCGGCGAACAGGAGGGCGGAACGCATGGTCAGATTCACAAAAAACACCATACAAAAGATCGAAACCGGCGACATACAAGAGCAAATAAATAAAATGCTTTTAATACAACACATTACACCCAAAACCACCACAAACAAAATCCCAGCAGAATTGCTCATGGGCAGAAAACTAAGATCCCCACTGGACAGGCTACACCCCACATATAACCCAAGAAACCCCCAGACTCATCAAGCAAACACCGAATGTTCAACATAAGAGACACCGTCTACGCCAAAAACTTTACAGGGGA